CACATTCCCACACATAACTGCTGTACTGAAGTCAGAACCATGTTTCTCCCCTTCTCCCCTCCATTTTGACTTCATTTGGAAAGAGAACATGGTTCCCTGGGTACAAATGACACAAAATGCCAATGTCCTTCACTCATCCTTGCAACACACATGGCAGCACTGCTTTGACGATGCATCTGCCTTGGCCTGCAGCTCACCTGGTACTGGCTGTTGTGCAAGTGCTTCCTGGAAACCCTGCAGTGTTTTTCCTCTGAATCCGGCAGGGGCTGAAACTGGGTCAGGTTCTGAATGCAGATCACTGTAGGGTGAGGGTAGCTGGCTGAGCCAGTGCAGCTCTAATGCTTGCCTTTTCTTCCTCATGCATCACTGATCTGTACTGGAGCGATGTCCCAAGCTCTCTGGGCAGCCAGGTGAGGAGTAGATAGGGAGGTCTCAGTTTCAGGGAGTTTATGCTTGATGCCATTTGGGTTACAGGGATGGGAGCTAAAGCCCCACTGGCTACCTGGAAGTCTCATCCAGCCATTGGACCTGCATTGCTCACGCGCCTGGGACAGCCCTGGCTGCTCATAGGACAGACCATGAAAACATTGTAGACAAAATGTGCTCCAAGCCGTAACTTTGCAACACTTTTGGGGTTGTAACTTAGATGTGCATTGTGAAAAACAGGCAGCAGAAGGGGTGAGAAATCAAACCCCCTCCGAGTGCCCGAGTGGCTCCTGTATACTCTAATAGCCTCTTCACCTTACTGTACTACTCCCAGTGACCTTGACTTCAGCAAGAAGGCTGACAGCTTAAGTGAAGCACAGACTAGCAGTGATTAAGTGTCAAGTTCCAGTCAGTGACTGCCTGCAGGATGAGCAAAACGACTTTTAATCCTCAGTGGTTCACATCTCACTTGCAATGGGCCCAAATTAGCTGTTTGGTTATGGGGCTGAGATCTAAACAGGCGACTGAAACTGCTCTAACCCAAGAGAAAGGGCAAGAATTTGGGAGGCTCTGGCATAACTGCTTGACCTGCCACAAACCCGTCACATAACCATGCCCACGTCACCCAGTTTTAGCCCTTCACATTGCTTCCCTGAAATCGGGGCAAGCACAGCAGGCTACTGAGGGTTGGTACTCTGAGGTCTGTAAGAAGTTTGGCCATTGTAGGTGACACGTGCCCCAGAAAGGCCCACAAGAAAGAACTGGCTAGAATTAACACCTTCCCCTTTCCTTCAGCACTTCACATGTATGGGTGCAAAGTCACCCAGAACGAATGCAGGACAGGGACATTTACTCCAGCCCTGCCTGTTTCCCATATCCTGTGGATAAGACAAAACTTCAGGCACCGGGGCTGGGTACAAGTTACCTCGTCAATGCTAAATTCACTTTAAAAGCAGCATCATCAGTCTTTTTCTCACCTCCTCCCTCCCCACAAGTGCATGAAGTGCCTTTCAGGTAACAGACCATACCCAAGGATTCCTTGAGACGTTAGCACGGGAAATCTTCAGTTAGAGAAAGCTGCTGTTGTTAGGACAACATGTATCATAAACCCTGCCATTGCTGCATACTCCCTGCCTGGTCTCAACCACTCTCCTTATGCTTCATGGCCTCTCTCCCACTTGACAGGCTGCAAATGAGGTCAAATGCTCTGGAAATGGTTTGTGGCACTCCTTTCTCTATATAATAAAAAGCCCAAATGAAAGCATTTCTCAAGTCAGCACTATAAGAGCAAAGATGCCTAAACTGAAGTTTTGAATTAAAGGTGGTGTTGATCAAACTGCTACAGTTGACTGACTTTGCACGGAACAAATCAGTCCATGAGTCAGTGAGTCATTCATCTCTGCAAGGACTGAGATGCCCTCCTCTCACCCATCTGAACAGTAGATCTGGTTAATGACAATACATGACTTACATTTGCATCATGCATCCATTCCATAGCAGCTTTTTAGCTGCAAATAGCAAGGCTACATGTCTGGCCCTGTGCTGCTGCCTGGTGAAGGAGAAGGCTGTATATAACCTATCAGATATGCAACTAGAGGGCACAGTAAAATTGAGGGAAGGGAAACTAAGTCATAACATCTGGGACATGGCAAAGGTGTACTGCTAACAAACTGCAAAGAAAAATTAAATCCATGTGATTAGAACCAGCACACAACGTGTCCAGATCTCATGATTACATATCTCACTGAAGACATGGCCAGCAGCAGGTTTTTCTAGCAGTGGGGGCCTTTCCTGCTTCAGATATAAGATTGCCACCTACTGACCAATTGTCCTTACTTGGGGCAATACCCTAGAACCTGACCCTCCATTCTCCCCTTATCAGAAAGACTCCACTACATTTAGTTTGTGCTATCTGATCAGATTGCAACCAGAGGTCATATAACTGTACAGACCATTAAGCACCAATTCACTTGGGCAGAAGTAAATGGCTCCATTTTACTGAAGTACCACTACTCACACAGTTCACCTTAAGCACAGGGACATTATCTCAGCAAGGCAATGAAGGCAATAAAAATGCAATCTGCCCAAGACATGGTTCTTGCTGGGGAGATCTGGATATGGAAAGTTTTTCCAGGTCTTTCCAGATCTGTGCTGCTTAGTGTGTAATGGGAACACCTTGCAAGCAGCTAGATTTATGTGTCTGGGACTGGAATATTTGGGCACATGTTGGTTTGTGGTACCCTGCCCCTATCTGCCAAATGCAGAGAGTAGGCTTTTAGATGACTTCTCATCCAAATGCGTGTGAAAAAGTATCCCTGCTGGAAACCTCTCACTGTAGCACAGTTCTGTTTGTGCTGGAAAACCCAGCTATCACCACCCAACAAAGCAGCAGAGTGCTCTTGGAGGGGTTCTTCTCAGCAAATGTCCAAAAATAGCAGATATTGCAGAAGGGTAGAAGGTCACGTAACACCCATGCTACAACAATCTTCTGAGTGCTGTTCATTACCTACGACAAACCAGCCACTCCTTTTCTTGTTGCTTGCTAGGCAGTTTCTAATTCACATAGTCTTTCTTTAGCTGCTGTTTTGCTGAGTATCTCACACATTTTTTGAGGCCCAGTTTTCCTTCACAGAGCTGGGATAGCCACATTGGACTAAAATCTGCGCATTTCCGAGTTTTCTCTCTCATTTCAGTTACAGCCTCTGCCTCTGACTCAGACTGGTGTTTCTGATAGGATCTCAGAGAGGGAGGAAACAAGAATAAATAGCATCACGCCCTCCTCACGTGGGTTGTGGTGCAGAGCTGAAACAGAAGATGAGGAAGAGCCTAGGCTGGAGAGGGAGGGGGCTCAGCTGAAACTAACCCACATTTTGAGGATTCCTCCACTCTAATGGGGCACTGAAGCAAGGGTATTACAAGCCTCTCCTTCCCTCATACCGGTACCCAAACCGGCTATTACTAGTTCTTAACTATCAGAAGCATGAGCTGTCTGTTCTAAACTCCCAGACCTGGCAACAAAGCTGCCTTAAGAGGCAATTAATGCTGCCAGGCAAGATGAGGGTAGGTTAGCATGGTAAAGGTCACGGACACTCAGGAGCCCTGGCCAAGGGTGATGCTGTGTGCGCTTCTCTCCAGGGAGCAGCACTAAGGAGAAGTCAAGCACAGGCCACTTTGAAAGTGTAACACTTTGAAACAGTGGTGGAAAGCTAAATAACTTTACTGGCATGGAGAGATAGAGAGTTTAAGGATTTTGACAGTAAACAACTGATCCTCTGACCTGATTCAAAGCCTGGTCTGGTGAGATTCAATGGTGACTCAGCCTCAGAGAACTGATTAGTACCCTACATGCCAGGATATGCTGGCCTCAATTTGGTTCTTTGGAGATACCTGCACGATGAAGAGTTCTTTATAACTGGCACATACTGAGAGTTTTAGGAGGCCACTAGGCTGAAACTGAGACAGCCACTTACTAATACAGTCAGTACCTTTCAGCCAGAAAGGCCTTATGGTATCCAAACCCAGGATTTCTTGGTATCCCAACAGGGTCAAACTGGAACAAGAAGACACACACACAGAGTTTTGTGAAGCTCCCCTTAGAAAGGCCCTTATGCGTGTGGATGTCCTCAAAACATTATCAAATGCTTTTATTAGGTACCTACAACTTAGTTCCTTCACTCCTCAGGATGCTGCAACTTTTAATAAAATCTTAACTCACTGGTTGCACAATTTCAAATCTCATTCTTTGCCTCCACCAAACAAGGTACAGCTACCAGGGCAGTGGTGTAGCTAGCAAACCTCAGTACTGCATTTGCAGTTCATTTTCTCAGACAGTAATAATAAACCACACCAGTAAAAAGCCTCCTGCTGCTGCTTTTGCCTCTTATCACTGCATTTACAGTAAAGCTTGTGCTGATTGCAGTAGACCAGTGGAAGGTGAGGGAGAGAAAAGGTATTTTCCGCATTCTTAATAGCTCTATAATTTCCTAGTACAAGATAAGGCTAGGTCGTGTCATTGATCCCTGTAACACAGGACATCCCAGGGCAGATAAGAGGTACATAGAGGCAGGCAGCCCATTCTGGGTGAGGGACAGAGCCTCACAGAAGAAAGGAGAGCAAAAGCTCACACAGAACTGAATCCACACCAGGAGATTGCTTTTCTCTTTTCAGCAGGGCTATTATGGTGGAGATGAGCTCTAGGATGAGGCAGAAACAGCTGTTTTTAACAGTGTGTGTTCATTAATATCTCTTCAATTGAAAGGACAAAATAAGCAGTTGGAAGGAAATAAAGTCCAAGTAACTTTCTCTAAGAACGCAAAGACTTCATGATCAATATCCAAGTCCACCATGAAAGACATCCAAGAAACAGACTCAGTGTTTGTGAAAGTTCTAAAAATATAAAATTATTTTCAAAAACCTAAACATTTTCTATAAACATTCCTATATGCCCTAATACAAAAAAACAAGAGGAAATTTCTTCTTGTTTCCGGATGAAAATTCTTTCTCAAAAGGGGAATGAAACAAGGAGAGGAAAATGAAATACTGTATACTGGGAAACACTGAATGTTAATATTTACCTGTCTTGTTACATCTTTTTTCTACTGATACTTGTTGACATGTTGGCCTCTTTCTGGTTAGCTGGTTTCTACCTGAGTTCATGCATAGGAGAACTTGACTCTTGATTTGGAAGGTACAACTGTAGTATATTCTGATTTTCCCAAGGCCCACCTGGGGGAAAAGAAAAGGAACAATGTGTCACTTCACACCTTCACCTCATTCTTCTTGGGCTTTTGCTATCTCAGCCTGTTGCACGTCACAGTTTGAATAACACTGCCCGGTAGCCCAGAGCAGTTATGGGCCAGGCACATGTTCCCAAAGGGATTTTCCCTTTGCTCTTACGTGAGCATCTGGGTGCCTCTTGGTTTACATAACTCTGAAAAACATCTGGGGTTACAAATTCCTAATACCTCAATTTGTTATGGAAATAAAACATGCTTGTAGGATAAAGATGCTGTTTGCAGGTTACACCACTTGTTGAGTCAGAGGGAGGAGGAAGAGAGGAGAGGTCGGGTTAATGTATGCTATTCTCTGTCCCAATTCTTTTGATAATGGTTCCAGGCAGCTGATTGTGCCCTTCCTGAAGTACACAGAAAGTGCCAGAAGACTACTTTCTGCCAGCCGAGCTGAGGGTCAGGCTCTCTGCACAACTGAGTGCAAAGGAGGGCACGTTTCAGAGAAGTATTTTTAGTGCAGGGGAGATGATGGACCTGGAAAGGGAAGGCACTTCTCCAAGCCTGAGCTGGGCAAGTGCAGGGTGTCTGCCAACCCTGTCCCTCTGCCAAAGCACTGCCAACCTGGAAAAAAGAAGCTTCTTACAGAGGTGAACAAGCTGTTCGCCTGACTTCCCGGGCTCCCCCTTCCCTAACATCTCTCCTCACTGCTGCAAATTGCCCTGCCAGTTTTTCAGCCACAATCTCCTGCCTGGCAGGAATCCAAACCAGCCCAGCTAAGCAGGAGGTGCCTCTGCACCCCCGAGCCGTGGGCAGCCCCCCTTGCTGTCCCCAGCCAGCCCATGTAAGGCTTCACCCAGAAACCCAGCTGAGAATCACAGACTAGCATCAAACCTTCCCAGGAAAAGAGGTTGTTTTCTTTTTAATACAGTTTCTATTGTTCAGGAGATTAAGGATGTAGTGGAGGCTTGTGGCATTTTTCCTCTGGGATCTAATTACAGAGGAAGAAAAATGAATTTGTATATGTATTAACTCTTCCAAATCCAAAAAAAGACATAGGAAAGGCCCCAGCAGAGGCATATTTAGCCATTGCCCATCTTCTGACAGTGTCTCCTACCACATGCCCAGGAATGTGGTAAAACATAGAAAAATACACTGATAGTTGCTGGAAGCACCCAGTGAACCTCCAGCACTCCCCTGTGCCAGTGGCAGTTTGCCAGTAACTGGATGATAGATGTTACCTAAAAATCTGCGTACTTTTATACAGGAAAGCTGTGCAATATTTTCCTTAAAGCTGCAATTCCGGGTATCAAGGGGTTGCATAGGTACTTTGATCAAGTGGAAATGGGATTTGAGCTGTTGTGACTGCATAGAAAATCCTGAAAACAGAAAGTCTCTCTACACCAAAGTCACCCATATTAAGAGGGCATAAAACCAGGATTTTTTTCCAATTTATTTATTTATTTAATAATTTGGTTTCTAAATTCTGAAGGCCTCTTCCTTGATGACTAAACAGCTGAGATTAGTAGCAGTGCACTCAAGTATTTTTTCTTTGCACAAATATAAGCATATTTCTTCAATTTAAGGCATCTTGGCTTTCTTCTTTTCAGAGACAGAAAGCACACAGCACTCCTATGATCTCCACTAAGCCCTCTGCCTACCCCAGCAAGAGTCTGAAAACACTCATATTTAAAAGCAGGTCCAGTTAAAAAAAAAAAGAAAAACATCCTGAAGACCACCTGCAGATGTATATAAACTCAACTAGAAGAAATGCTGCTGACGGGCTGTGCATTAAATTTCTCTTTCATGGCAACTGGTACACCTTAGCTAGCCAACTCACTACTTATAAAACAAGATTAGATATAAAATGCAAAATCTCTACAGAGAAGACTGCAATAAACCTGATTTCTCATGCACCTTGAACCATCATATCTGCACTCTGTACCAACTCCAGGAAGAGCCGCTAACATCGTAAATATTTTGATTAACACAAATGAATGCTTAGAAAGAAGCGGTTGGCCACAGAAGTTTCCTTTGTGTTCCCCTTGCAAATCACACCGACACATAGTGTTTGATCTCCTTCGACTAGCTGGTTTAGGGTACTTATTCCTGTGAGAATACAAAAGCAGCTTCTGTTCTGAGGACTATGCTTTTGAGATCACAGACTACAAAACTATGAGTCACAGAATGAGATATTGTACAGAAAATTGGTACTAGTATTTACTTTTCTTCTCCTATAGCCTTAGATTCACCTGAGGGATTTTTTTAAAAAAAAGATGATAAATCACAACAATGTGTTTAGGAGTTCTCTAAAGTAATCTGTGATAGAGAACACATGCTAATGTACCAGCTAGAGATTCACTGATACTCAGTTGAGATGAGCTATGTAAATTATTTCCCATTTTGCCATTTCTGAATGATGCAGTTACTTCCTGACCCACTCTTAGATACCAGGGCATACTAGTTTTTAGATACCTGAATATAATCACACATTTTTTTCAGGGTGGTTTCCTTTATTTTAAAATGCATCTGGTTGGACAAACACTGGTTGAAATGGCTTAGTTCTTTCTGCAGATTTTGAGGTGGGTGCCTTTCTCTGCAACTGGGCTATTAGAAACCAAATAATCACTGGAACTCAGTGATACAGATAGGGATCATGAGCAGAACAAAGAATTTTCCCAATCTTAAAATCATTACATTCAGGATTCATTAATGCCTGAGGTTTATATTGCCCTGTATTTAAATCTTAACCGTGACCTCTTCCAAAACATGGCCAAAGTAAATGAGGTTACCCCCCTCTGCCGAAAAGATGTGACATAAAATTTGAATGTTCCTTAGCTTAATTAATCTGAAGAGCAAGATTTTCCCTTTCTAATTATGTTGCCCAACTCCAGTTTAGCAAATTGTTGTTTAGATAAACTAATTTGTGTGCATATGTGTGCAGTGTCAAGAACTATAGAAAGAACTAAAATTCTTCTTCCATTAAATTCTAGAAATTAGCTTTTGCTATTTTATTCTAGAAAATCCTGTAAAACAACGATCTTGTAGTGAAGAAAAGGAAAGAACATGTATTCAAATAAATGCAGTCTTAATAAATTATTTGTGAGCATAAATACTTAAAAAATCTACAAGTATTTTCTGTATAAATGTGATACACAGGTAAATGAAAGAATACCAATTTGTCATTATCTGACACAACCTTATGCAACAGTACCCTCTGCTAATCATATAGGAAGAGATCAGAAAGGAGGAGGTTAAACTTTTAATTGGTTATTTACTGTTTCAATTCCAGGCAGCATTTATGTGTCTGCATAACACTGGAATGGCTTAGGAATAATAGTGGGTGTGCTGACTGTAAATAAGCTGCAAGCTACAAGCCTATGAACAAGCCATGATCTGATGTAATAAATCACAAGTCAGACGCTCTTGTGGTTTGTGACATCACGAGCCCTCAAAGTGCTATTTATAAGCTCTGTCATGCACTGTCCAAGACTATTGCCAGTTCAGAAATAAAAATGTTTAGGATTCTTTTCATATGGTCTTTCTTAGATAGGGTGACCTATTTGCAGCAAATTAAAGCCAACACAAAGACAGGATTGCTTGGGGCCACAGGTCAGGTGAGGCCAGGCACTTGCATTCAAGGGAACCTAGTGGTGTTGAGTACACAGGAGCTGTGCTGCTGAGCTGACTATCACCGTGGCCCTTTCAAAAGCAGTTTTTCTTCCAGCTTCACTAAGGTGACCTAAAACTCCAATAGGGAAATATTTGAAGAGTGCAGAGAGAAAAACACTGAAGGTCAATGAGGATAAGATTATGAGAAAGCAACAGAAAATGATCTGAAGGGATACAAGGCTGCTACTGCCCTGTGATCAGGTGGCGCAGTTTGCAAACATCACCACCCATGACACTGGTGTGGTGACTCTTCAGGAGGAAGATGGTAACAATCCAGTTCTTTGACATAGTACAGAGTTAAATGGTTTTGCCTACATCTGCTTTGGTTGTAGAACCTTATGTTTCTTTAATACAACTACAAAAGCAGGTGAAGCACCACTGTAATTCAGGGAAATGCTGAGCTTTCTTTCCTACGTATTAGACATCACTGTATGAGTAGTAAAAAATTGTCTGCTTCTACTGATGGCCTTATTCAGATCGAGATCAAATTATTTCCAGGATCGGTCCCTTCCACAGAGATCAGGGCAGCAGTGGGGCAGCAGCGGAGCAGTGCAAGTAGCTGCTGGCACAAAGGCACTTCCAAGATGGCTGCAGAAAATTGCTCCATGTGTGCAAGGTGTCAGAGAGCAAGAAACCACAAACATTTCTAATCTGTCCAAAGAGAGACACTGCAAAACCCTCAGGCATAATCACTGATTCATAAAACTGACGACAGGAAAAGAGAGTTAAGCTAGAAGGAAAGAGAGAGTAAAAGCAAGCCCAGAGGCTTATAACTATTTAATTCAATTAGGAGAAGGTAACAAACGTTTAGTTAAAAGCAGCATCCCTGTTTAATTACTGCAATTATGCTGAAATATATTATTTTGTCACCAAATTGACTGCAACTTTCCTCAGTGCTTAATGCATTTATACTGCTAAGCAGCACACAGCCTCAACACATCCCCAGGTGCTCCTCCCCATCTGCTGTCCCAGCCCACCTCCGAGGTCTCACCTCCTCTGGAGGGACTCTCACATTGGCCAACACGATGCTCTTGGTTAAAAAGTGCTATTTGAAAATGCTTTAGGGGAAGTAGGTGGCCTTCCTGATACCATGTTGCATGATGGTTTACCACATAGTTTATTGCCACCACTGCTCTAACAGGGGTGATCTACTGTTATCAGCAAGGTAATCTTTGGGCACCTCCCTCCCTCTCCCTCTACAGCTGGGGGAATGTGGACGTCCCCAGGTGCAAATATGTCCTGTGCTACCTTACTGGACTGGAAGACCAATGTACGCATATTTTGTTTATGTCCAATTTTTGCAAGAACTGAG